ATGAGTCTCGGATTTTTCGCTATCCAATCGGCTCTTTTCAGAGCCCTGGAATTCTCGACTCGCTATTTATTTTCAGGACCCCGTATCCACGCAGCAGATTACTCAACTAACTCTTGGAAAACCTGGATCGACACAGCGGATTGCACCATCAGATTGTCAGATCCCTGGATCTTCGGAGTAGATTACTCAATCCAATTTGCAGAGCCCTGGATCTATGCAGCGGATTGCACCATCGACGACTCAGCTCTTTTTACAGCACCGGACTACTCATTTCGCAATCGGCCCTTTTCAGGGCCCCAATCTCTTATAATGTTGGCTAATATTGCTTCGCTATCTATTTCATTTAATACAAATTGCTACTTTATTAATTATTCCATCCTTTGTGATGGTTTAACGTTTTTCAAAAATGTGAAGGAGACCGTTTTAATAATCCGCACTTGAAACCAGTCGACGCATTTCAAGGTCAACAACTCTCCCAACATGAAAAGCTGATGAGAATTCGTATTTGAAAAGCCTGAAAATTTATAAAATTCATTAATTAAGAGGATGGGCTTTTGATTGGCTGATGGTCTTCTGGAAGGGGGAGGCCTGAGGAATATATATAAATAGAGGAATTTCTGAGGAGCTCCTCAGTTGCGGTTCAGATCTCCCCGCGGACGGATCTATTCGCGAGAAAAAGAGTTATCTCTAATCAGAACATAGCGGATGATCATAATAACTTCGAGGCTAATCGTTTAATGCAAATTTTGCGTTTCTAAACCTAATTTCCATTACTCCTTCCTTCCTGGATTCTTTAAAGATTTTTTTTAACTTTGTGATCACGATAATAAAATTGTTAAACTTAAAAAAAATTACAATTCATGATTGGTGTCTTTCAAGTTAAAGAAGAATGTGAGTTAATTCTTGGTTTGATAAATTAAATTTAATTATCATTTTTTATAGAATTGAAAATAAAATTAAAAAGTGCATTCTGAAATAGCACCGAATGTATAAAATTGAAAATAAAATTCAAAAGTACATTCTGAAATAGCACCGAATGTATTAAATTGAAAATAAAATTCAAGAGTACATTCTGAAATAGCACCGAATGTATTAAATTAACGTGAATAGTGAAAATTAGTGAAGCGAAAATTAGTGAAGTGAAAATTAGTGAAGTGAAAATTAATGAAGTGAAAATTCTGAACAAGTGTGAGGCGACTTCCTGCTATATCGATGGTTGGACCTGCAGCAGCATCTCCCGGATATATGGTGAGTCAAGTTATCAACAAATATAAATGCGAACTGACACTGCGATCGACATTTATCCCCTCGATAGGGATTTAATACTTTTCACAAAACTATTAGAACTATTCGAAATTCTTTTCTTCTTGAATATCAATTTTCAACGAAGTCCTGACTTATGCGAGTTCCGCCAAAATTTCGACGAAATTGTCGACATAATTCGTATAAATTTTATTTGTTGGGCGCCCGTCACGAACATCGTTTTTTCTTCATTCATAATTTCGCGGTAAAGTGAGGTTTTCGGTGTATGCACTGAGTGCGATTGAAAAAACGTAAACAAATGGAAGTTGACGAGTAATTTCCCTCCAAAACGTTTCGTCTGCGATTTCCCATGGATTAAACCGGTAAGTCCATTAATTGAGTGAAATTCTCATCATATAAATAATTATTACATTTCCATAAATATTTTTGACAACAGGTCACCGTATTTTTAACAATTAAAAGGGGTTATGTCTGAATATCAAAACCTAATCAACTTTTTAATTGTTAAATGTCGGATAACGGATCAATGAGTGGATTTACAGAAAAATGTCAGAAGAAATATTTATTCACAATTCCATCAGCTTCAAAAAAGGTCCTATGATATTTCTGTCTAAATCCACTGGTTTACTTGAATATTCTACATATTAATTTCGTGAGATCTATTTGAAATAGATTAAATACTGAATCATGGTGACTGAAGAGACCGTTGAACCTCCGAAAAAGCCTCCACCGTCGTTCAAATCCTCGACCTTTCAGCAGACATTCAGGCCGATCTCTGTATCAGGAAAGAAACGAACCTGGAAGTCATTAAAACAAGTTCTAGCCCAGGAACGAACATTACCCTGGCCCCCAGAGGCAGTTCACTGTAAGTCTCATTGCATGAGTCCTCAGTAAAAACGAAAGGTCATCAATACGATCATTTATTTGCAGACAGTTCAATTAACGCTCCACCAAGCTTCAAACCTGCCAAAAAATACTCAGACATCTCAGGATTACCTGTAAGTTCGATCCCTAAAAAATACACCCCTTAAAATTCGAATCACCCTTTTAAAAACCACTCCGTAAAAATAAAAATGATGGGAACAAGGGAAAATGGTACTCGGTGAAATTAAAAACTCAATTATTCATAGGAGATAATGAAAATTCATTCGTGATAATTCTTACATGATAACTCGATGAAGAAGTGATGGAACTTTCTTATGAACGCTCGATTATTTCTACCGAATTAATTAATTATCGACTCGAGGAGGAAATACCACTATTCTAATATTGAAGCAATAATTATTGAAATTATAACTGAAAATGAACAGTAATGAATGGTAAAAAGATGACAGAATAGGCTGTAAAAAAATTCTCGGACATTTCCCCCTGTTAAAAAATTCTTCTCCCTGAACCAAGAATTGCCAGAAGAATTAATTTTTAATTAATTTCTTACAGGCACGATATACAGATCCCCAAACAAAATTGTACTACGCAACGGCCGATGAATTTTCAACAGTGCGTAGTCTTCCAATGGACATAACAGCTGGGTACTTGGCCCTCCGTGGTGCATCAAGTATCGTAGGTTAATAAAACGCCCAAAAATTTCACAATTGCTGCAATTTAAATCCAGATTATCCATAAATTATTGTTCTCGTAAACTCCCATTTTGATATTTCATACATTACACTCATGTCGTTAAAAAAGTTTGTCCATTACAATTTAATAAATCTTATTTACTGACGAATCTACGCGTAATAATGGGATGATTGGATGGGACATTGGATTCTCATCGATTCTATTGTTCGCCCGGTTTTTTTGTTTTCGTTTTATTATCTTAAGTTACGTCATTTGTCTAACCCCCCCCTGGCATATGTCACAAGAGTTGTCTCAGTTACATATTTTCATGCAGAGCCCTTGTGGTACTCACAATGGGCATTGACTTTTGCTTAAAATGTCCATCGAGGCCTAACTTAAGAATCACGCATTCACGGTGTGCACAATTACTTCTTTTTTTTTTGTCATTCAAAATGTTGTAACACGTTTTTGAGAGGATTTAAAACGCTTTTTTTATGGCTTTTAATTTTATTTATCGAGTGTATTTGGTCTGTCGAGGTGGTTTCGTTCACTCCAGGTCTGGCATTTCGTCGTCATCGCTGTCTGCACCGTCGGCATCGTCAGCCATGTCGTCGAGGTCGTCGAAATTTGGTTTTGCGTCACCAGCCCCAGCACCACCGAGGTAGCTCATAGTTTTCATCATCTGTTGATTTTAATCGGGGGTTTGAGTTAATTTTTTCAATGCTCTGAAATTTCTTTCATCAATATTATTTGCAGAAATATTGCATCATCCTTAATATCTCTGCTCCTGAGAGATGCAGCAAAATCTTTGTGGGAAACTTTTTGTACCTATTGAAATAATTCACAAAAAATGTCCAACAATAATTTTTCTGGTTTCCACCGGTCCAGAGATATCAACAACAAAGTCACAGCTAAAAATTGAAATATCTCCAATAACTGAATACGTCAACGATTGACTCCCTAAAAATCATTTACCGATTCCAAATCACGTGGGTTTTCATCGCTCTCATTGTCAGTATCGTCCTCGTCCTTCCACTTATTGAAGTCATTCTTCAACCAGTGATACTTCTTATTTTCCTTGACCAATCGTGGCCAGTAGGGTCCCTCCTCTTTCTTCGTAAGTATCATCTCGATAAGTCTGCCTTTAGTATTCTGGACAGTCTTATCAGGATCAATTTCTTTGTACAAATTAATCGTCACCTCGTGGTCCTTCTTCTCTGTGCCCCCAGTTCCCTTGAAATATATTTTCTCTGGCTCGATCTTTATTGTGGGATCTTTGCAATCCTCCAGGCAAATTGTTACGTAGAGAATAGAACTTCTCTGTGCCCACACCACTGGGGGAGGAGTGATTCTGAAATAATTCGTGAGGACCATTTATCATTTAAGGCAATTATCGTGGGGAATTATTCCGAGATATTTGTAAAAGAATAATTTTTTCACTCATCTGACTGAAATAGAATTTAAAAATTAAAAAAAAATGTATTACAATAACAAAAAGTTATGATGATTTATAATATTTGCAACTAATTGAGAAAATCTAAAATTTTTGGAGTTCAAATGAAAATTTTGACTTTTCCCCAGAAACGCAAAAAATAATTCAACGAGTAGAAAATTCCCGAATTGCCCGTAACGAGTTGTAGCTTTTAAAAAATTTTATAGGCACGCGGTCATTAACAATTATAGGTTAGAAATCCTCGCAATTCGCCTTGGAGAGAAAACGCTAGTCACTAAACAGGAAGTGATGGCTAATCTCTCGAACAAGCTTCGAATCCCCTAAATAAAGCCTTTTCATCCCCAACAATTTAATCATGCATCGAAATCCGAATTGTGCAGTCGTCATTTATAAATTGAAAATAGCGAGAAGAAAAGAGTGAAACCCTAGAAGATGCGATACATTCCGCATTACGGGATGCTCCTGGGTGTCGATTTGAGGTTCTGGGAAAGAGTTATCCCCTGGAGTTGATCCAGAGGCTGGATACGAAATTCAAACTATCGTGGATTTATTTTGGGATTTATTCGGGGACGTGGGGATGATAAAAACGGTCTTAGACGCCGGTTTTTCCAGAAACTTCACGAATCAATAAGAATTCTCAACAACATGGCGGTGTGCGAATCCACAGGGACGTTTATTATCATTTTTCGGAGTTTTACGTGGAATTTTCGAGTAATACTCGTTGAAGGGCTGGTGTGGGATTGTCTGAGGGCTGTTTTTAGGGATTTTTTGAGTGGATTTTTGTCTACTTACTGATTTTCTTGACTCATTTTAACGAACCGCTATCTTCCGTGGGAAGGAAACAAACACAGCGCGCACCTTTGCCCACACAATATCGCGCCACAGTAGAAATTCTTTTCGATATATCGATGTGGCGATTGCTCGAGACAGCCTTCTGCGCATGTGCACGGGGGTTCCAGGGGGATTTGAATAGAGTAACTGCACATTTTTTTTCTATCGCGTGGAAGCTTTGTGATAGATCTTTTTGTCAATTTTATAATTCTGCCTGGAACATATGTGGAATGATGAAAAATTAAATTTTTTCACCTTCCGACATTTTTTAACGATTCATTGTGTCATTGGGTTAATATTTTTCGGAAATTTCTTAAAAAATTGAAACGACGCGATTTTATGAGAAAATTTAGAAAATATTACACTGTATTATTTTATTATATTTAATAGTATTTAATAAAATACTATTAAAATACTTGAAAAATGCGTAGATATCCTCGATAAAAATGAAAAATACAAATAAAGATTTCCAATGCAAGGACTCTCATGGCTGAGGGTAAGCAACAGGAAGTAAACACCAAATCAAAGAGAGAGTAACCAATTCCCATCCTTACAACAAACTTGATAGACCAGAGTGGGAAATAGTACCATTACTATCGCACATTGTAGATTGTAGGTCATTCTCAAAGCAGGAGGTGGAGGGGATCCTGGTGGGGCTTTACCCTTCTGCCTTCTGCTGGTGGCCACCAACTAACTGGACATGGAGACGGTGCAACAGTCTCTTTCTCCTGGAGGTTCGATCCACAGGTGATTCCATAAATCCTCTCACTCCACAAACAAATCCCAACTCCATACAAAAGAAAAACAATATCTTACTCGATAATTTTTAAATCCTGATTCAAAAATTTTTGATGTCTACCTAGTGGACAATACTGTTCCTCAATTCCATAGTTCGATAGTTCGATAGTTCAATAGTTCGATTGTTCCATAGTTGTGATCCTGAAAAATTTTATTTAATTTAACTAGACGGAGTTGGAATTTTCAGTTGGATGTAGTTCAATGAAATTTCGACGTAATTCAAGGTTGAATGGGAATTTTTCAACTTTCTTGAAGGATTCGATAATAAAATCGGTGACAGCAGGTGCACACGTGGTAGTGAATTAATGGTGTCAGTGTCAAGGAATATCTAGACAGAATGATAGATCAAATGGAGATCTATGAAAATATTTGATGGGTCAGATCTATAGGGATGGTACCGCTTACTCCGATTTTGTAATCACTGTGTTAATAGTTGGATCGTTAACGACATGTCGACGAGCTCACTATTCTACAAGGACAAATACGCCGTAAGTTTTTTTTTAATCTATTCTCGTTTTTTTTTACACTGCCAATGCCAACGGCCATTTGCACTGGGTCTAGTTTATTGTAGTTTTACGGCGCGTTGAAAAGTTTTCACGAGTTTTTTAGGATCTCGGTTGAGAGTTTGTGGATTAGTTTCTGTGGTGAGAGTTCTGTGGGGAAATATTCCAGGGGTGCAGATTTTTTTTATTAGAATCCAATTAGGAATGAATAATCCATGTTCAGGTGTTGATGAGAATTTTAGGATTTTGGTCGATCGATATTTAGGCAGGAATTATTGGGTTTGAAGGAAAATACTGAGAGATCTTTTTTGTGGGAAATTTTGTGAGCTACGGAAAATTATTATAACGTTTTCTTCTAAAATATACTCTTCTCAGGATAAATCGGCAATTAACAGTAATTAACTGAATTATTAATATTTCATGGTTTTAACATTATCGCCAACAATTGGAGTGAGAAATATTTATGTGAAGTTATTTCTAATTCAATTTGAAAGGATTTGTAATGTGGCTCGTACTTTTTGCAATTCCATGTGAATGAGTTTGTTTATTTATTTTTTATTTTGTGAGATGGATATATTGGTATTGGGCAATTGCGATTGTTCTCGGAGATAGTCTAATCGTTTGGGGCAGTCAGTCAATATCGAAATGATAATGAATCGTTCCAATTTCCTCGTTTCTTGATCGAGAGGTTTATTTCCTCGGCTTGAAGATGACCTTTTTAGATTGAAAATATTCTGCATTAGAACGGAGTTTAAGTATTTAGAGAGGGGAATGCTTTTTTTCTTGAGATCGTTTCTGATGTGAAACGTATTCTCCTTTGAGAACTAGAGGACGTGAGGTATTTTCATTATTTTTCACTGAAGGAATCGATTTTATATATTGAAAGGTTTTATTGACTCCAAAATTTCAAGTGAAAGAACTTGAAATTATTGACAACAGCAGGAATTAATTTGTTATTAAACTAAATATAGTTTAAAAATTGCGAATGTAAAATGCCCAATTCCATGGAAAAATTTAAATGGAATCGTGAATTGTTTAAAATATCTTGGAACCTGAGGGACATAACAAAATTTTCCTCAGAACGTTTTTTATAGAGGAGATCAATGGCTATAAAAAGAAGTCTGACCAAAATTTTGCCATCCCTGCTGCATTTCGAGATATTCTCAGAAAACTTGCCTATAAACTAAATCGATTTGTTACCCTTTACGTCTTCTCTGCCGATTTTATTGCAGTAAATTCAATTCAAATAAATAAAGTTGTCGAGTAGCTGAACGCTTCATGTCCTCGTAGTCAAACCGTTATTTTCCGTAATTAAATCCACAATAATGTTTATCGAGCACTGAAACCTGCTCGAATGCACTCACAGATATCATTACAAAATGAAACCGATATATTCATGAGGTATTGAAATTAATCACCGGTTGCAGTGAAAATTCACAAATTGAAACTGTGAGTCAGTACCACCTTGAATTCTTCAACTAAACATAACGAATTAACAATAATTATTAATTGAGTCCAATCCTGAAATTCTAATTTCCTAAAAATTCTCAGAATTCAGGTAGTCGATCAATTTCCCATGAATATCTCAGAATCTAAAAGAGTTATCAAATTTTTTATAATAACATTTTTTGTCCAGCGAATTGAGAGCTACGAAAAACATTACGGTGAAAATTTCGCTATTTCGCTTATATTCGGAGATATTCCTTGAAGCCCAACCGATTTACCGTTTCGGTCCTGAATCCCCCCTAGAAAAATCGTCTGCACTTGACTCTTGAATGGATTTCTCTCGGTATTGATTTGAATTGGAACAATCATATGTAAAAAAAGAAATACCACAAGACAATGGGATATGAGGGGTAATTACCGAATGACTCAGAATGACTTTGTTTCCACATTTGTAAAGGTACACGAGAACCGATCGCCCATCGATACACAAATACTCACGAATCATTGAAATAGCACGCGATAAGCTATCGCCTCACACCCACGGATATCTCTCCTTATCAATGTTTAAAAACCCATAAATTGACGAATAAAGTCAGTACGAACGATTTCCTCGGAGTCGAGATCTCGTTAATTATGCAACAATTATTTTGCAATTCGACTGGTCACTTCCTCTCGTGCTAACTCTTGTAAAGAGCACAGAAATTTGAGTGAATAGTCAGTGTATCCTCCAGCTGGATGATTCATTATTTTATTTTCCGCAACTGCGCGATACCTGATGCTGAGGTAAGGCCTTTCATGCTAGAGTCATCATTAGTGATGATGATGGCGAGAGGATGTGATCGTGTATTTGTGATTGCTTTGTGATTTGTCCGCTGATTAATTTTGATATGGACATCTTAACCTGCACAGGATTTCTCGGGCTCAAGGTATTCTGAATTATCAGATTTTTTTCATTGCCAAATATTTGGACAAAGTATTTAGCAATTAATCGATTGCTAAACTGTTGAGTAGAACCCTTTGACGATGAAGAAAACGAGTCATAAATTCTGTGGTCAATTACTCTTCCAATTACTATCAATAATAATTAACGCAACGAATGTAATTCACTTGGTGAAATTTGTGGGAGTGATGCAGATGAAAATTGAGACAACTTGAGACGAGATAATTGTTCGCCCACGTTCTTCTCACGTCCCTAAATGTCGAAAAAGGGAACGGGCGATTAGTCTTAGCCTTGTAACCGTTTGTTATTTATCTTTACACCATAATTTCACCGACTCTGGACATTAATTTCCCGTAAAATACGCCATATTTGTCGTTTTAATTCGTCTTGTTTTCGTATTTTTCCAGTTATAAAAATCATTTTAGAAAAGATCCTCGATAATTAATGACATTTTCAGAAAACGTAAAAATAAATTCTTAATCTTCGCACACAGAACTCTTGACATTTGGTACTGGACAATTACGAAAATAGTTTCTTAATTCGATATAAATCATAAATAATAGCCACTCCATTACGTGGTTTCCCAAATGAAAACTGAAAGTACTGGAAATAAAAAATAACCGTGTGTGCGTGACTGATGATCTCTCACATATGTGTTACACACTTCCATGTAAACATGGGGATTAATACATTTCTCGATATATATATCTGTACGAGGGAATTCGATGAGAATTGGCCGTTGCAGGTTAGCCAGAGCACCGGGAAAAGTAGCGCTTGTGGTTTTCCGCAAGAACCCGTTATTTACCTCCACCTTTGCCTATGTAATACCTAAAATACCTCTTTCATCCCACCAACATCAATCCTACATCCATCTTATTCTACAGCTGTTCAACGTTCCCTGACTGACAATTTTACGTTGACATTCTGGAGGCAATTCAATTTCGATCTGACTCCCATCCATTTGCATAGCTATTCAATCTTGTAAAATTAGTCTCAAAATTTCAAGTAGAAAAATTGGTCAATTTTTCCACTGACGGAAAGTAATCCCATATTTTATATTGATTTTCCAGTTGAATTATCTCAATTAATTTTTATCTGTATTTCAAATTTCAAAATATTTTATAATTTCATCCAAGAATTTTCGCTCTAAACAGTAATAGCTGGAAAGGTAGCGAAATAAATCAAGATTTTGAAGTACCACAAAGTATTGGTAAATTTCCGGTAATAATAGCCAACATAACGTATAGTCCAGAGATATGGAATGAATAAAAATGACCGATGGCAATGCCGAAGACCACTGGTAAAACGATAAAATCAGGGATGACGCAAACTATTGAAAAGCGTAAAGACCAGTCTCCACTGTATTCCCACAGAAATAGGTGTAATTTACTCGTTCCCGAAAGGAGAGCTTCTCACGATTATATATTAGTATTAAAATAATTCCCCGAGGGAGATATCCCTCGTGACGTTAAAATTGCACACGGACGCTGGCCAAAGTTCAACCGGCTTTTATTTGATTACATAATTATGAATAAAATACACGAAATCAACTACTCGTTTTATTGGCATAGAGTAAGTTGGTGTCAACTCATCAGACAGTCCAATGGGGCGGACATATCCTCAGGGTGGGTGAAAGTCTTATGTCATCGAATCATACATCTCATACCGACATACTGGGCCTACGCAATTCATAATGTACTCAACAGCTGATTATTACTCTCGCCTTCTAATCCTCAAATATTTTATTAAATTACGAGGGAATCATAAAAATACTGAGAATTTTTTTTAATTGAGGGATTAATGGGGTAATTATTTTCCATAATCCCACCCAAAAAATCGGTATTCCCAAAAATATTTTACATTTTTACATTCATTCATTTCAAACAATAAATAATGATAATAATTATTTATTATTATTTTTTCGAATCTTTCCAAAATTTGAATGATTTTTTCAATTAAATTAAATTAATTGAATAATTGTTTTAATAAACTTTCAATAAATTCTATTGTTTCATTCCTGTGAATATCTGGGGAACCGGAAGTGGAATTTCACGATCTATCATAGAAAGCCAGACAGTTTTCACTCGAAAGCCCCTCGGGACAATAATTTTTCGTTAATTACTCAAGACCTGATTTTGGTTAATTACTCAAAGCGAGAGTTCTGAACTATCCCAATAAATTCTCCACGCAGAGACGAAGAAAAATTCATGGGTTATGAAATGAAGTGTAAAGGGCAAACATGTTGGAATTGATGATGATCGAAAAAGAGTATGAAAAATCGAATTGGAAAGTAACGCTCAGTACTTCCGTTACATAGAATATCTCGTTAGAAGTTGTAAAGAAGACGTTCACCACATTGTGGTGGAGACTAGACGTTTGAATGCGTGTTTTACAGATATGGGGTCTTGAGTGTCGAGAGCAGTGCACCTCCCAGGGGTGAAAGTCTTACATCATCAATGCATCTTGTTATGGTCTGGACACTAGATCTCCATATGCATGAAGTGAAATACGATAACTGGTAATGCCTTCAGCAGACTGATTTTTTTTTTAACAAGGGGCTATTCCCTTGAACATACAGTGATTGCGGGGTCTTAAAAGTGATTTCGTCATTACCATTTGGTGATTTGCAATTATCTAATTTTAGATCCAATTTATGAGTCCATTCAATTTTCACTCCAAATGTTCATTTGGAGTGAACATTAATATAATTACGATCTAATAATACGATGCTCATAGATTTATTTTTGGAAATACCCCATAATATTCGAATTTTCACGAAAACCAAATTTCTGTTTTTCGCCGGAAAGTTCTAGAATTCTAATTTTCCGGAAATTGAATTCTAAAAATTCCGCAAGTTTCACCCATGAAAACTAAAATTTATCCGTGACAATTTCCATTCCAAATGCTGTACGGGAATTTCCTCAAAAATTTTCCTCTGTAGGAGTTTCCATGGACCAGAGGGAGAACCCATTGATAATTTCCTTTTATCCTCCTGACAATATATCCAGTGTTATAATTTATCGATGAAAATTATCGGTTGTTACCCCAAGAAATCTGCACCAGTCAAACAAATTTATTACAATTTTACTCCATTTTTTTCTCGCAGACAAGTGCTCAACTTTCAAACGAACCCGAGTGTTTTTTCGACGTTAAATACCGTTAACATTCTGTTGGCGGTAAAAATGAGGAGATTTATGACGAAACGTAGGACCTGGTTCGATCATCAAGCGAAATGTTCTGTTTTTTACCCGATCGGATATTTGTACGTAATCCGTAGACGTGGGTCATCAGGTGAACGGATAGTTAAATGGATTCCATTACTCATCTAGATTTATCGGTGACAGTCCATCCCGCACTCCAGTTATCTCTGGAAAAACATTTAGTGCCTTGGACTATGTTTTTGTTTTTCTCATTGTTTTTTCATTTGCCTTGCCTTGGGTTTCATTCCTCATGATTGAGGTGATCATGTAGGTGGATATTTCAATGGATCCATTGTCTTACATTCTTCTGGTTCGTGGGTATTTGCCCATGAATATTTCATTCCACAGGTTGAGCTTTTCAAATGTCCAAATCACTCAATTCTCGTTGTCTCCTGCGTTGAGATTAAAATTATCCGGAAATTGCCCGGAGAAAAATGGAAATAGTACATAATATATCTTCTTTCGATCTTCCGAATGTAAATATTCATCATAATAATATTGCTAATAATAATAAAATGAAAGAAGTCATGAAGAGGCGTGAAGTGTAAAAATTTTGAAAAATCAAAAAACGTCAAAAATTTGGAAAATCGCGGACGATATCGCACAATATTAAAATCTATTCATGATCTTTATGGAGATTTACTATAAAATTCAATGAAATAATTTTCAAAACGCAATCAATCACAAATTTACTAATTAAAAAACCAAAAGTCCTCAGATACTCCCAGGAATAAATGCCAGTGAAATTTTCTGGTCTACAAAAAACGTCTTCTCCATTTTCTCTCAGTAGTTCTTCATATAATTGCTCATTCATCAAGACAGATGTTATTATCGAAAAAATTACAGTATTCTCCAGAAATTGAATTTCCACCGAACGTTAAATAAATTACGTGGTTTCTCGGTTATTAAGGACGCATTGTATTGCAGAATAAACTTTCATGTTGAAATCCCTCTATTCAAGGTCAATTTCTACTGTCTCTATTGTTGAAGAAGATCGCAAGTCTTTGAAATCAGGTCGGCGACCCTCCAACGAGTCGCCAATGCGTGAACATTACGAACTCAGGCTCGTCGTGCATCAGGTGAAATGAGAAACTCATCATGTCGACAGTAAATCTATTGCAAGAATTCTAGTTACGCTTTATAATAATAATAATAATATAATATTTATAATTATTAATACTACTTATATTATATTCTCTGAGGCAATCGTCTATTGGTTACATATTTGAAGTCCCCTACAATTTTTTTAGCCGTCCAAAAGGAAGTGCAATTTTTCTCCCTCAAATGATTCATTGAAGTACTTCCGCCATTATTATTTCACAATATACTAGACCTACCAAATCTGGATTATCGGCTGTTAGATGCATCTAGGAAAGAATCGATAATCCACATGCCAAAATCTGCACGATTAAACATAAAAATTTAATTTTTTTTGTAAAATTGATGGATATTTAAAAAATGATGTATGATAGTATTTAATTTGCTTTGATATATTGTGAAATTATTCACGAGTATGGATAACTGCGGAAGTACCTTAATTCGAGTTGTTCGCGAATGGATTCTGTGGTAGATGCAAAGGAAAACACATGGCAATGTGAAATCTGTGGGGACTGGTTGCCCCTTCACCAGAGTAATATCCTCCATGTACTCCATATCATATTCATTTTCTTCCCCGTTTCCTCACTCCAAAGAGGGTTGGCACAGTTGTACGTGTTTCCTGTATACTAACCGCCAGACAATACCGAAAGGTCGTGCACGCGACGTGTTGCCACCGTAAATGGCCACCGAGGAAGGAAGGCCTCTAAGAAAAATTACAGTTTTAATATCTAACAATGCATTTTGCTGTGTATCCCACTTTCTCATTATTTTTATGGCTGTTGGACGCGTTAATCCGACCACCAAGTGTTCACTAGTCGTTGTATCCGGCTTTTGAGTTATCTCTTGAGTGCGGAGCAACATTGAAACACAAAATGGGGTACTAAAAGCTAAATGGCCGATTGCCCCGTGATTTGATGGACGTCTGCCATTTGTTGGGATCATTTGGCGTACGTGGAGATTATCTTTATCGTCGGTCAAACGACTCCTGCGGCTCGACCTTTCCCCTCTTGCGGATCTTTTAATTAGCGAATCGGCGGGTAATCACGGCCAATGTACAAGAATAAATTCATCAGCTTTTGAACAATTTCCCAACTCGAATTATTACGAAATAATCATCAAAAAAAATATTAAAACCTGGAAAAATTTTATATTCTAAAAAAAAATTATAGTATTGGTAATGAGTTTTTTTTTTGATGTTTCAAGTGATATTTTAAATCTCAAGGGCAAAAATCAGTAAAGTGAATCAAAATTCGTTTAACTGTATAATTATCCACCGACGCAGAAGAGATTTATCTGACGACGAATTCGTGTGATAGATAAGAGCCCACGTGACTACGCAGAGAAAAAAATTTGTGAAAAATTACGTGACAACTCACGTATACACTAAGTACATACTATAAACATATAATTTTAATAAATACACATATTACATAAGTCGGTAGAATAGATCGGTGAAACAAAGCGTTTTATCAATTTTTTCAACGATTTCAAATTCCATAAAAAGTTGACAGTAACTCCCATCACAATAAACATTTATTTAATTAAATTTTTTATTAACAATTCCGTCATTAAATAGCATGAATTTCCACTTAATTTTCCACTATTTTCAGGGAATAATAATTGACTCGAGTCATTCAAGATATTTTTATTTCCAAATTATCTGAACATAATAATAATAAAAAACTAATAATAATAATAAAAGAATATATAATAATAATAAACAAAATGAAATAGCACATTCATGACCCAAAGATGGAGATGTCACCGCGGAAGTAAGGCCCATTACTTGACGGATGTTTTGGGCCCGGAGATCGTCATTGTGTCGCAAAATTTTTTATTTTTTCTTTATTTTGTCTGTGACGAGGTCTTACCTTGAGGTGCGTCATGCAGTTCAGGGCCCCGTTTATTGAGGGGCCCATATTGAAATCCAAGGCGATTACTCTGGGTGCGCCACTCTCATTACATATATTATATTTTGGGGGGGAGGAGTTTTTTTTTTTGTGATTTATGCGTGCGCACATGTTAATTGGGATTGGGGAGAGGCTGGGACTTGTGGGTATTCCAAATATTTTTCAGACTTTGGGTTCGGTTTTGCCATTTTTTTCGGGTTTTCGTGATGGGGTTCATTCCGAGCGGATGTGCAGCATGTGGTTGAGATCCGGTATGAATTCCCACCGAGGAATTTTTACCGATCACTCGAAAAGAATCAAGCGACAACGGGAAATTCCTCAGTGTTTACCAGTAATTAATTTGGAAAGTTCTGTTCTGCATTGGGGGAATTTTTTTTTTAATTAAGTAATCGATGATGAAATTTGATAATTAGAGGAAAAGTCAATGATTATCAATTTATCTCATTACTTTAACGATCAGCGATATCTTGGGAAACTTATTACTGCAGCTTTCACAAGTAGAAACCCAAATCGAAAATTTAAAGAATCCAGGATATCTAAAAAAAAATACTCATAATTTATGTTTTTTTCTTTAATTAAACTCAATTGAGAAATACAATTTTTTTTTTATTTTAGACAAATCATTATTTTATTAAAATGGTATATTATATTATAATATAATACATATATATTTCTTATGTTATAATATTATAATCTAAACAAAATTTACTGTCATAATAAAAAAAATGTACATTCGAACAAAAACGATGGCAGTCGTAAAAAAAATTGAAAGTTCTCAGCCATTAAAAAAATCATCTCACAGAAATATCCTTCAAACGTTTTCCCATAAAATTTACCTGAAATATTCAAACAGCAATATAATTGCAAAATATTCGGAAGCCTAAGGTGTAACGTAAGAAATAAAAGTTGAGCCATTATAAAAAGAAAAAAAAAATTACCCCAACACTGATTTCCCAACGCGGAAATTCAACGGTCAATTCCCCAAATATCTGATATAAAACCGTAAAAAAAATTAAATAACAAGATTTATCACCTGAATTGAATCACACCAATTTGCTCCACTTTGAATCGAGACTAATCCGCACTTTATGACTCCATAATTCGACATCTGACACGTGCATAAACCACAGGTACACCTAGAGTAATACAAGCAGATCATAAGAATTAAGTGAATCGAGTCAGAATGATGAATTACAATCGACTCGTGCTCATTTTATTATTACGAAGACATAAAAAATCTCTTCGCATGAAGTTTTAATCATTTTTTTTTAATTCTAAAACATGGCGCACACGAGACCCCTGGGGATTTATAGTTGAAGTGCAACGATAAATAGGTGCATTCAGTGCTTTCCCAAAGAGGTATCAGAGGATACGAGTCGTTATTAACTTCGGTTCATTGAGCACGAGTAAAGGTACAGTTCATGTGTCTGGCATGAGTGATAAATACAGCACCTCAGATAATGTTTACCTCTCGGATCGATGTGAAAGGAATGGGATGGCTCTCGTTGGATCACCGATGATTCCGTTCCTGGGATTTATCCCACTGCAATCTTAAAAATATTTATTCTTATTATTATTATCATTACGGGAAATTATCAGTAGACCATCTTCAAGGGCTCTGGCCTCTGGAGGCCGACCTGTAAATGAAAAATCACTAGTTGTCCGAATTCCCTCTATAGTGCCCCCTCCCATCCTGAGGATGAGCCCTAATCACCCTAGGGCAATCCAGAATTGCGAATTTGTCGAAAAAAAGGAAAACGAGAATTTAAATAATTCAAAGAAAATGTGAAAATATTCATTATTGTTGTTATTATTATTTGTTTGAAGTTATATGTAAAGAATCGTTATTATTGAGTGGATTGAATTATTATGAATTATTTATGCAATTTATTGAATTCATTTAGGGAATTTTTCCAACGGATTCATTCAATTTAATAAAAAATAAATGAGAGTCTTAAAAAACTGAAAATTTCACTCTTTATATATTCCCAGAATTTAACTTTTCAAAACATGTGATTAATTACCATGGCGTATATAACAATTGAATTCCTAGAAGAAAATTCCAGAACGAAAGCCCGACAAAGTGACAAACAAGTGCAGAGTTCATTGACACCGAAACTAATTACTGTGCATAATGGATGTTACGTTCAAATGAACTTTTTTTTATGCAACTCGTTGATTTTTTGTCTAATTTAAAATGTGCGTGGATCCCTTGGCATTTTGCCTCACGTGCAAACAGTCAACATTGACGTGTCATCATATGACCAGGAAAGGCCTGAGAGGAAGCCCCTGCATGGGTCAATGTAACATAAATGGGGTAGAGAGACTGGAAAAAAAAAGTCAATAAATCGACTATAGAAAGTTCTCATTCGTCTCACGGATCAATCATGACGTTAAAAACAAATCGAGGATAAATGTGAGTTTTTGCACATTTACTGTACGATACGATATCACTCTCTTTGGTAATTTGCATGAGGTAATGCTGAACTGATAGAAAAATTCCACCGATGCTACCACGCAATTCAATTGAGAACTACTGTTAACTCCTAACAACTCAATAACTATCAACGAATCGTTAATGGTTATTTCTAGTTTTATTTTTTATTTTTTCCACGGAATTCGTTGCAAGAAAAATACAAATATGAAAGCGTGCGATAAAAATCAATTTTTTCACTAACTGGTAATACACTATTATGATGAGTGAAAAATGTTTTTCCTCGAGTGTAAGAATATAAATTCCGGTGGAATTTTTCCAGCAATTATGTCACCGGAATTGGATTGACTGCTTCATAAAGACTTGGGGATTTTAATGGCTGCACCGTTGCACCATTAACCCAGTCCCCAGGTATTATCGCTCCTCCGGAATGTTCATACATGATAGAGTGTACGATGTGGCCCCCAGGTACCCCAGATAATATCGCGGCAGAGTCAAAGACGATTTACCACGTTAAATCAATTCGTCTATTAACGATTGAATTCATAATATTCAACTTATGAGATGTGTAATTTCATGGGCAATTTGCTGGGAGTTAATGACCATTGGGAATCAACCGGTGGGCATTAACCTGGTGGATTTGATGGGATAATTATCCAATTTCAGTCATTTCGGATGGGGATTCCCAATTGGGATAATCACTTGAGGATTAGAAAATATTTCTTAATATTTACGGTACGGTTAACTGGATCCGGTGCATTTTATAACTGTTTGTGTTCAAATTTTAACCAATTAGAAAATTTTTTGATTTGAGCTCTGATTGAATGATTCCAAAATTATTTTAAATTTAAAATATTTTAAATTATTTAGCGTAATAATTCAATAATTAATGAATTAATTCTAAAAAAAACATTGATTGATAATTTTTGTAGAAAATAATTCATTCTCAACAAATTATTTTCTGTTTCTCACATTTTTTTTCAATTGACGCGTCAGTTATTGCTCTGAATTCAACACATATATAATTAAAAGTCGCCGGAGTTCGTATAACGGCAGAGAATATAAAAACAATATTATAATATTCACTAAACATAATAATTTGCGCTCTCAATAATTCACGACGAAAGAATATTTTTTTGTGACGTAAAATTTTAGTGTTAAAAGTAGTTTTGTTCGCGTGAATTTATTTAGAAGTCATCCCGAGTGTTTCCTGGATCATTTTTTTGTAGTATCGATTTTCCCGTTGTTTTTCTATCGAGATATCACGACCAAGTATGTAAACAAACGGATACATAAGATCTCGCTTTCGAAATAATCATCATTTGAACGTGTAATTAAAAGAAACATGATTTGTACCCGGTAATGGTGAAAATTGTCTATAAACGGTTTTTCTGCCTCAGTTGACGAACAGCAAAATTCAGCTGGAAAATAACCCGATAATTAGTTTCTTAATGGCATCTTATTACAGGGGAGGGGAAAATTCCTCCGGTGAATTGAAGTTAATTATTGTTTAACAAAGAACCTTTCAATTGCTCATTCTTCCAATGTAAAAGCTATTCCATCACTCAAAACGGAAACGAATAATTATCTCATTAAAAATAACCTTTTCCGATAATCCATGTAAAATGTTCATTCCGCTCTAGAAATTCAATTGCGTCAATTGTTTATTATTTATTTCAGGTGCAATTCTGCCGTTTTACCTTTTTTCTGCTTCCCGACGTATTTTCATTACAAATCAATACTAAAACCAAAAAAAAAAAACGCAAGGATTTTTCTATAAAAAGATGTTTATTCAAACACGCGCGATGAAATTGCATAATTTTTAATAAAATTAGCGCAGAAAACTGCAAATCATTGTATTTAATTTCCTTATCAATATTTTAGGGCATTCCATAATTTTCCATAATTTTCATAATTTCTACTGAATATTTCTTGAATTCAATTACATATATATATATATTACAATCATATTTTATTTTATATTTATATAATAATAATAATTTTGTATTTCCCCTGTACGGCCGACAGCTTTTTGCAGTTGGATTACATATTCCCCTATGTTTTCACGTTATATAAAGTAATACATAAATGACCGAAATCATTTGAATAAAAATATTCATGGTTATATTAATATTATTTTGTCGAATATTTCTGGTTGTGTTGACGATCTAAATTTAATAGCTGTAATAGGGAAGGGGCGATGGCCCCCCGCCTAGACTCTCCAGCTCTCTGAAATACTCACAAGTGAATATTTCGACTGATTCAAAACGTCACGTGTGTGTCACACTGCATGCATTACCCCAACACTTGAATCCAGTGGCTTTTATTGTCAAGTATCCGTGTTTGAAACGTCCAACCAGACGACTGTACAGCCGGTCCCTGTGCTCGCTCGGTCGCGCAACTCGTTCACCTCCCGTTCCTCTTCTTCCAGTGCAGTTGTACACGGGTCATCACTTCATCCAGTTGTCACTGACAGTATCATCCGAACAATAATCGAAACTTTCTAAAAAATAATAATAAAAAAAAAACAGCAACCGGACGGCGTGAATCATCCCGCGAGTTGACCGCGAATTATTTACGAATTGTCCGCGAATCATCCGCGAATGGAGTCGTGACAATCATAGTTACCAGAAGTGATCGACAAATAGTGAACGTGGGAAACGATAATGTGAATCCAAAGTGTCAAAGATCCCCGGTGCTATATCATCCTGATTATTTCGTAATTGACCACGCCTCGATCATGTATCTGATCATCACGTAATTTAAATTCGCAGCTTAAGTACATAAAAGGATGTAGCAGCATTGCACGAGTGAGATTAACTCTCCGGGTGATCAGTGCTGGTACATTATTACTGAAATGGCATCGCCATTTTCCCAAGGAGACTATCGCTATTTTTCTGTTACAACTGTTGTGTAATGCACACCGCGTAATACGGATATAATCACTTGACGCACGCGGAAAAAATTGTGTAATTGGAAATGCCGCTATGAGAATTTTTCCAAAATTAAGGCGGACATTTTTGCTGGAGAATTTTTTATACAACTTCTCAATGAGTTATTTTTAATTCAATCGCGGAAACGTGGAAGTGTTTATGTTGGCGGTGAATAGTGAGGTGACCTGTCATTTCAGTTTTTGGAAAATATCTTCGAATGTAAGGGAGATAGAAAATTTTTTGTAATTACTTTTTTTGTAGATCTGTACTGGATCTGTAAAAATGGTCATCATGAAAAATTCGGTATATTCGCTAGTTTTGGAGATATTTTCCGAAAACTGAATGGAATTAAACCATTTACACTGCAATTATTGCTGTCACTAAATTTCCAATTTTTGTTTATATGTGGGAATATACTAAAAATATATTACATATATTTATTTCTTCATTAGTGGAATTTCTAGTGTTTAAAATTTATAAATCCTGGGGGAACATTTTGGAGTTGAAATTATTCGAAGAATTGAATCTCATTTGTGCGATGCATTCGGGTTTTCAACGAGAAATAAAAATCCGAGTTCGTAATTCGGTCGTAAATAATAAAGATAAAACCGCGCGTTGACAAACACATTCGAGGCCACTCGAAAATTGAATGGAAAGAATTTTCTCATTACTAGGTAAATCGAATGCTTCGCACTCGTGGTGTTTGTTGTGGCGATTACTTATCTCTGAAGTACGCGACATTTTACACCTCGAAATCTATCAGAAGCATCAGTCGAGACCCGGCGCTTAGATCTTTCATTTCAACACGGCACACTCCCATAATTCTAATTAAATCATCAATTAATAAATGAATAATCAATTAATTATCCAGCCGAGAGCATTAGAACTGAAAATTAAATCGAAAGAAAAAAAAATAGGGATGACAAGTGAAAAATTTACAATAAAATTAACAATAACCTAAAGTGATGAATCATTTAATTGTCAGTCAATTAGTGTTATTCGTATTATCAACTCAAAATATATTCTTCTGATAAATTAATTTCCCATTAACTTAATGGGACGTGTTTAATGATTTTTTTTTTATGTATATGTAAGGGGGAGGGAAATGGGAGAGAAATGTACGTAGAGACCCGGAAATTTATTTATCATTATCTCACCTGTCGTTGTAATTACGTCGGTTCATCTAATATCCCGAAAAACGTGTTCATGCTGAAAGTTGAAGAACCAGTGAACTATGATGGTTTCCAAAAAAATAATAAATAGAACTAGAAGTGAAAAGTGAATTCACGTGATATCCAACTGTAGCATTGCCATTTTAATTCCCCCCTCGAAGTATACGGGAATAGTAGGGAACCGCAAGTTAGATTGGTGCATTGAACCTACATTCCATGGTACTCGAATAAACCCCGAGTCACATAGCACCAGGTGCAGTTATAATTAGAGCTACGTGGGTTCAAGATCGTGTACTCGGATTTTGTGTAATTATCGCGGTTCTGGAGTGCACGATATGGAATCGAATTGGATTGATCTATTCCGCTCGGCAAATATGGCATCACGTAATCGCTCAAGTGCCAATCGTAATTAGAATCTTGGGGCTAACAGCTGGGAAACCCTGCAAAAAATCATCCCAATCCATGGCCAACTATCGAAAATAAAATATCTTCGAGTTGATTTACTGACTGCCGGAAAATTCATCCATTATGCTATTATTTATCAATATTTATGTGGAGTTGAAGTTTTTTTTTTCGGTGAAGTTTGTCGTTGACTAAGTTGGCACATAAAATCTGTTAATGAATTCAATTAATCTGTCAAATCATTCAATTAGTTGATTTATTATTGAATAATCGATTTATGATTCAATTGAACTCTTAATAAATTGGATTGGTGAATATTTTATTTGTTGATGGATTAAAAATTTTAGTTCAAATTGATTATTTTGTTATTAATGAATTTAATTTGAAAATTCAATGTCAATTTTGGAGAGAATTGCTGGGGACTCCATTAATTTTCAGTTCTATTTTCATAAAGTGAGGAAAGGACAAGCCAATTGCACGGTTGTGTCAGCTGACTAATTGTGGGGTCATCAATTATAACCGAAACATGAAATTAGAGGTGTTGATGGCGGACTGTTTAGGATATTTACACCAATCAAGATTGACCTTGCACTAATTCAATTCGGAATTGCTAGATAGGAGTATACAATACAGACTTGAAGCAGAAATAAAAAATAATATACCTCGCATAATGAACTCTTCGCGGAAATGTACGCGAAATATATCCGGACATATGACATATTTCTGGATTTAAATTTTCAAATGGATTCTGGACTCATTACATGAAACCTTCACTTCACACATCGCAAAATTGTCATGACATTGCCCTTAAAAAATTAAATTACTAAAAATGCCATAAACTGGAATTAAAACGTAACGTGAACGTGAATCCGTTGAATTTCTTGAAATATTTTTGCGAAACCTTAGTGCCCGTCAGGGAAACCGATAGAAACAGTAATTCAGGTGTCGAGGAGGTGATGAACTCTGGATTAATAGAACTACGATGATGAACGAGGTCAGACAGAAGTGGAGCTCACCGAGATGCACGAGTGCCATCAGCCCTGATAACGGTGAACAGAAGTCAACGTACAATCAAGCGATTGAATCTGATTTCTCAGAAGCGACTAACGAGAGGCCGATGGAATCAGCTAGATCCAAGTTTCTAGGGTCTCTGACATGTACCAGTCATCCTGACCACGTGGGTGATACGATAGCATCTGAGGAGGCGCTGTACCAAAATAACGCGTCCTTGGTGGGTGAAAGAGAGGTAAAGAATCTGAGCAGCAGTCAGTCAGGTCAACTCAGTCTCCATTTGGACGATGATGTGGCAGAAGTCAAGCGACGGAGAAGACACAGCTCCAGTGTCGAGATTACTGCTATGACATCAGTGAAAACCGACGAGGACGGACTGCCCGTGATAAGTTTCAGTTTTCTGCAGGAGAGGCATGAAATCCCTCAAGAATTCGATAGAACTGATAAACTCCAGTTGTACGACTTCCCCAGGAGTACTCGCGTCTCAGGGGTCGGTGAAGCCTCAGACCCTGAGCCATCAGGTCCTGATCACCCCAGCACCGAGCTGTATGACTTCCCCACGTCAATTCGAGTAGTTGATCCAGTGGTTGATCAAGTGCCCGATGATCTAGAGACTCTGAAGAATTCTGAGGAGCTGTACGAGGTGCCCGGGATCAATCAGGAGAACGCCAAGAACTCCGTCTCCCTGACCCTGGAGGTGGATTCAAGGGCCGAGCCGAGGGTTGAGCAGATGTCGTACTCTGACCCTGAGGACAACTACTGCTGCAGGGAGAGAGGAAAAAAATCCAGGAATCGCACCTTGGGGAGGGCTTGGGGCAGGATGAGGAGTTGGTTGAAGGAGGAAAAATTGAGGATCGGTGAAGTTGTTCAGAGACATGCCAGGATGCAGGCAGTTGGGGCACTCAGGACTGATCCTGAGACCTCGGGGAGTTGTGGATCTTATGATCTGGTGGAGGCCAGGACTAGGGAGCTCGGGCCAATTAGTGTGATTGATGAAGCTCCACTGTCCTCGGTGTCTGAAGAGGTCAATGGAGATGACGTCAGGACTTATGATCTGGTGACGTCGGACGTATCTCCTGAGATAGTGCCTAATAAATTTCAAGGAAGACTCAGGGATAAAACCACTAGTGTCGAAAATGTCGCGGGGGGCAAGATGAAACTTACCCCGGTTTCGTTTAGTCTTGATAAATTGTGCGATGAGGAGGAAGTGAATGGAAAGGAGAGAAATTATGGGAAAGGTGGGGTTATCAGAAGGAGAATGCTTGGATCAATCAGGGGATTCATGGCTTCCACCAATCTTCTGCATCAGTCCGATACTGATGAGGTAAAACTCATTTTAATTTCTCATCTTTAATAGAGTATTGCTATTATTTATTTAAAAATTAATAAAATAAAAGTAAAAAATCCATATAAAAAGGAAATAGAAGATGGAAAAGTAAAGAGAGAAAATAAAAATAATAGGTCAATCGTTTGGATTTGAAAATGTAGAAAAAATGATTTGTTTATTTTTAGGGCCTCAGTTTAGGTGATAATTTATTTGAAAAGTTTTTTCTCCCGAATTGATTTATAAAAATTGATAAAACTGCATTTAGCAAGTGATGAAAAAATATAAGTATAGCCTCGTTTTATTCTGGTGGGATGTGTTTTGCTCCAGTTCGTGGGGGTTTAGGGATATTTTTGGATGTTCTCGAAAGATTTAAATGACTGATGGTGTTACGTCAGCCATAAGTGGAATTTAATTGCTCGTTGTGATGTCGCGTATTTAACTATTTGTTTTCTTCGGTTATTGTTGAATTGTGGATGTGGAACCAGAACGTAACATGTCTTTAGACATTTGAATAATTTAATGGAGACCATTGAACTCCTTAATGCAGGTTAATAGATAAATTCATCGGATTTATGAATCAAATGGTGTTATTTCATTCGTCACCGATGGACTTTTTAAATCTCATTTCTAATTCAAGTTCATTCATCTCGTTATTGTTTTATCGAGCGAAAATAAATGTTTTTTTTCTCCGGTTTCCCCACTTTTTATGGATTTATTCGGCGCAGACGAGTCGAGTAAAAGTTTCAATTCGCTATCTTTTCTGATTTATAGGATTTTCAAAAAAAAGCGGTAATTAAATCGCTAAACCTGTTTAATTATGAACTGAAAGTGGTGTCTGGAATAAATTAAAATGAATAACTTCTCCAGCTCCAACTTAGCTGTGCCATTTGTTCGATTGATTATTATAATGAAGATAAAACAATTAATCTCCTCAATTCACGCTTCCTTCGAGTTTTTCCGATAAATGTGGATTCTAGATAAAACATATCCATAATATATAATAATATATACAATTTTCTAAATAAACGTAACTTTTTTTCTTAAAAATATTTGGATACATATGGTAAAGTTATAGAAATATAATTTTCATAATTGAATGGTGACACTTTTTGTAACATTCGAATTTTTTCAGAAGGGAAATTTCAAGTGTTTTTTAATAGTGTAGTAAACAATGAGTTAGTTCAATGTTGGTCGGGTATTAATTCAGAGAGAATGACGAGAGTCGGAATCGTGAGGTCTTTGGGCCCATGGAAAGTGTGGGAAAGTTGCGTGGAGAAAATCCGTCATTATTCCTTCTAGTGTTTCTAATGTTTCTATGATGCACGGCTCCAGGATTTACCTGTGGAATGGCGCAAATTCGATCGTTTCACAGATAAGTCAATGACTATTGACCGGAGGGAATCCAGTGATTGTATTCCAACGGATCAGCATTAATAAAATGGTAATGTGGAGGGTAATTTGCTCCCGGGAGAAATTGAAATACTCCAGGAATGTCGGCGAAATTAAGTGCGAAAGAAAGTTTTTTTTTTTCTTCTATTTTCTTTTTTTGTTGTACGACACGTGTTTGGAATTTTATGGTAATGCGAATATTTTTACTGGGGATGGGGGAAAAATCTGAAAGTTTCGGCTTCCTGTAATTAAAACACCTCGGCAGTGATTATGATTTTTCCTGGAGGAGCTGATTGAGCTCCGGGTACAGATTCCAGGGAAAATATCTTGGCCTGGACGGAAATTCCATGTACCTCATTTTTTTTTGTCTCCCTTTTTTTTTTATTTAATAACGAAGTTATTGAGGGAGGCAGACGCTTTTTTGTCGGACATTCCGTTATTTATTCGTTATTATTCACGACTTTATGGGCCAATTAATGGAAAATTAATAGGAATAACGAGATTTTTTACCGCGTAATTCCTTGTTAGAAATTTTTCGAGGTTTCCCGTTGGAAAGGATTTGTGGTGGTCATAATTCATGATTTTATGGGGAAATTAATAGATTATTAATGGGAACATTTTTTCCCGTGAATTTCCTCATTATAAATTTACATTATTGTAATTCCTGTTTTAAAATCAATGTAAATAACGAGATCATTTCCATAAAAATTTCTCACTGTAAATATTTCATGAGGAACATAAAAAGATCAATGAATAAATAATTTATCGGTATTTTGTTATTATTATTATTATTATTAGTAGTATTAGTATTTTAAATTTCTCGCAAATTCAAGTTTTTGGTTTAAAAAAGAAAAATAAAGAAAAAAACTTGAGAAATTTGTGTCGAGTAATGATCAAAGCCGGCGAAAAGTTGTGCAGCAATTTTTAAAGAGGTAATAATTGCGAAAAAATAAAAAACAAGGTCTCAAGGGTGATCACTCCCTCCGGCTTGCAACACCATCAGATCCAGTTTTTTTATTTTCCCCACTATTGAATCGACAAGTGGATAAATTATCCCGAAGGTCATGCAATCATGCATCAGACGTAAAAAATGATTCATGGATGGAGTGAAATGCCGGGAAGCATCAAATTGTAAGGCTCGATACGATAATCAGAGAAAGTTCATACTCATTTTTATTTAATCTCTTCTGTCTGGTATGGAAGTGATGATTGCAGTTGTCTGGGACGTGGAAATCATCGCCATGATTCTTGGATTCTGCCACGTCTTCTCTCATTGTTAATTAATTTCTTTAATTGACTGCCTGTTTTTTATAAATCCTTCATAAACAACGAATTTCCCTTTTTCCTTTAAACGTGTTTTCAGAGGAAATTGCATTTCCCGGGGATTCAATTGATTTCAAGTACTCTTATCAAAAACTAATGTTAATAATAAGATATCCCCTGAGAAATATTATTCGAAGGACACCGGATCCATAAAATTTCTGGAATATCTCAAACGCAATTTGATTTACAGATTGAGCTAGTCAAAGTCGTAATTCTCACAATCGATTTCACTGCTCAAACAAAATTGCTGAATTCTCCGCAAAATTACAATGAATTCGATTCAAAGAACAAAAAGTTTCTTTTGATTTCGGGAATATACATACTTAAACCACGTATAAAGTATACTTGGATGAAGTATATATTTATTCCGTGTGGAGAAACTGAAGACGTGATTAATTTAATAAATTTCTCTTTTCTCGCACATGGAAAATGGAAAAAATCTGTGAGTTTGGCATGACTCCAGCTCCAGAAAGTAGAAAGACCGACTAAAAATAATGTTTCGATAAACAATTCCAGGCAATTCGTCTGAATGTCACGAGAGAATCGCCGAGGCCGTGAAAGTCATCAAAATGACCTGAAAAATAATTCACGTTTCACTTTTTCCAGCGAAGCGTATAGTACTATCGGTTTCGTTTTACTTTTCGTCGTCTCCAATTTGAGGTTTTTTTTTTTTGAACAGTTGTCGGAAAACCTGTTCTATGGGTAGATAATAAAAATAATTATCGTATGTAGAGCTACTGTAGCTGCAACTACCGATTGGTCGATGCAGTCTCCGGTATCGACTTCATGCTCTGATGGAGACTAAGAAATTTTTTTACCGATCTCCCACTCTTGATAGCAACTGGTTGAATAATTATTAGCGACGCGTGCGATACAAGGGATTATTTTTTTTTTCATTTTAACGACTGGAACTAGACACTTGAACTACTTTCTGATTTTGTGGTTTGGGTTATAATTGCAGTCATTGTTTCTACATTTTCATGTTTATGATTTTTATTTTCATCTTCATTTCTCCAGAGAGAAAAAAATATTTTACTTTATTTATTTAATTATTCCAGAAGATGATGTATATTTTTGAGTAGATAGAGTATTGAGTAAATATTTTGAGGAAGGTGTAATTTTTATTGATCTTCTTTCTTGAGTCAGTCCCATGCATATAAAGAATACATAAGGTACTTTTTCATTATATATTGAGGAAAAATGAAAAAGGTCCGTTTTATATACTGATTTTTTTATTAGCTCAATGGGACTGGTCGCAACAAATGGAACTAGAGACTTGAACTACTTTCAAATTCTGTGGTTTTGCTGGTATGATCTGAGTTACTGGATTTTTACCGCAATATTTGACCCACGCGACTTGTTAACATGGAAATGTCAATGTAATTCAAAACTCGTTCATTGATATTGGAATTTCACACATTCCTGAACATTAATGTTTATTCATTGAAGTTTGACCTGTCATTCAAAAATTGAATTATTTCAATTGAATCAGCAAAATCGGTGAAAAATTAATTTTCTTTCATTTTTCAAATGAACTTCATTCTCAAATAATCCAAATAAATTGGTATTGATTTTTTATAAATATATTTTTTGAATAAAATGTTCAGCGGAAATAGTCATTTGAAACTCGAAGCCATTGGAATATTTTAATTAACATCACGGTTGAATTGTCTGGAGAACACCTGGTGAATTGACTCTCCATGAATTTCTAATGCATACAGATATTATTTCATCGGCCACACTCCAATGGCCAAGGTGAAAGGAAGCCGGAAGCTCAGGTTTGTGTTATCGAAGAGTTAGATTCAAACGTCTTTCAAGCAATTCATTCTTTTTTATTACTGGTTTTATCCTCGGAGAGTATGTGGCGTGTCGTAATGGGCGAAATTGGCAGGGGATGGGGCTGGAGGACAAAACGGAAATGGTTTATGGCTAGGGAAGACAATGAACTCTCGGCGATGAGATAATGACTGCAGTTTCTCCTCGGTGAAGAGACCTTTCGCTTATGGGAGAGGCATTTAATCAATAGGAAGAGCTCTAATTGATTGATTGATCCCCTCAAAGATTTCTTCAACAGCTGATTTGTTGAAATCTTTCCATTTTCACCTATTCAATTCCACTCCATGGAAATTATTTTATTGTGGAATTTATTAACTATCATTATTCATTGGTAATTGTGAAATAATAATCATTAATGAGTCATACGTTAGGAATATTATTGATTTTTAATTAATTCATTGCTTAAAGACTCAATCAATAGACAATTTGTGAAGAATTTTCTTTAATTCGATTTTTGTCTCCAAAATTTCGATGTGATGAAATGAAACGAATTGATTTCGTGGGCAAGAAATAAATGTCGTACTCGCAGGATCGCATGCTCATTAATTTTCATTACCGCTCATAGAATTTTATTACTCCCGAGGGAGTAAAAACCCTTTCTTACTCCGAGGTGCATGGTAAATAATAATTCTCCATCCGGATGTGCGACTTTAGAACAGCTGGATTACGTGTCAAAGAATATATTTACCGGTGCACATAAGTCTGAGTTCTATTTCCCAAGAGATGATGTTCATGGTTCACACGTTAGCCTCCGGGTGATGACTTCGCATCGATTAATTCGCTCTGAATCCATTCGGAATAACAATTCGTTACTTTTTGTGTACAGACGGGTCCTGGTGGCTTCGAAGATGTTCGGAGATACGTCAAACAAGGCGGTGACTTTTGCAAGGAACTCGCCGCAGTTCTCCATGAAAGGTAATCAATCAAAAAATGTGAACATCTCGGAATCTAAGAGAGCTGGCGAATTTTTGTACGAATCATTTTTGTAGCTGTTTTTCTAGTCTATCAAAAAGTTCTTAATAAAAATTTCGATATTTCTCGTAGATTCAGAGATACTTCCCGAAAACTTCATCACGAAATGCGTCGCCCTACTCCCTCCCTCTAATTTGCAAATTTTTTTTTCTTGTTATTGAAGGGCCGAGCTAGAGGCTAATTACGCCAAGGGTCTCAGCAAATTGAGCAGTAAATTAACGAAGGCGTGTGCTAAGGATCAAGGTATCTATTTTTATCATGAGTCCACATCAATGGTTCAATCAATGAAACAATGCCAGATAAAACTGAAAAAAACACAAAACATTTTTATCGTGGAGTTGTTGAATATATTTTTACAACCTATTTTGCATTTTTATAACTGTAAACACTATAATCTCTTCCCACATGAATTGTAATTCGATTGTCCTCGAAAAAAATAGCATACAGAATTCGCAAATTACCATAGAAAGCATCGCTGTAGGTGCTAAAGAGGAATAATTTATCGGAATCAACCGTTTGTGAGGAACAATTAAATAGTACATGTTGAGTAATTTTATCTTGGATTGCCTCTAGGTGGAAACAGCTCCGGTGGTGTCAACGAGGCGTGGCGAAATGTCGGTGAGGAGATGGAAGCAGCAGCTGAGGCTCATCGATTGTGGGGTATAGCCCTCAGCGAGCAATTGGCAAAACCCCTCAGGGTAAATCATCTCAGAAAATTAATTCCGAATTATCAGAGTGACACGCAAGTCATTACAGTCGGTGGAATTTTATCGGGACCCTCCGTGAGAATATTATTGACATTTCAATAATGTTCATCCTCGATCAATCTTAAATCAATCTTGTCCCGACTATTTAATCTATTAAAGTATTTCTCGATGATGCCCCCCAGGTCGGCGTGGCAGAGGCTCAAGGGCGTTCCCGTAAAGTGATTGAGAGTTCCGTGGACAAAGCATCCAAGTCCCTCCAAGAATGGCGAAATGTTGCAGCGAAGAGCAAAAAGCAGAGTTTCGCATGCGCTCGTGAGAACGAGCGGCTCCAGGATCTCGCAAGAATCCAATCGATCACACATTCTCAACAGAACAACAACAAGACGTCAACGCACCACATGACGGAGAAGGAAGTGAACAAATTGGAGAACCGCCGTCGAAAGGCAGAGGACGGTTCCAGAAGAGCAGATACTGAGTTTTACACAGTGAGCGTGAGGGCAGAGCGTGCAAGATTGGAATACGAGTCAACGGTGAGAAAAGGGGCGAAGCAGATGGAACTCCTCGAGGAAGAGAGGCTGAGCGCCCTCAAGGACCTGGCGAATGTCTACCTCTCGCACCTCCAGGCCCTCGCCCCAAGGCTCCAGCAGAGTGCAGATCGATTGTCTACACCTGTGAGGAACTGCAACGTCTCCCTTGACGTCGACATCCTCAAGAATTTGATCCGTAGATTAGACAACAATGAGACACCTAACGTTGATCAACTCCTTCCTGATTTTTACGCTGAACACGTCACCCTGGCCATGAACAGGGAACGACGAAAGCAGGCCCTTGTCCGAGTCCTCCACCTCATCAGACAAGATCTGGAGAGAGAGAGGCGAGGCAGAGAGGGGCTCGAGACCCTTCACAGGGCTTTTATCCAGACTCCAGCATTTGCAGCTGACGAAAGCACCCAAAATGTCACAGACAAGCTCATCCACATGAGATCGATGCTGACCTATCTCGAGGCAGCTCGGTACAAGGTTGGTGGTGCCCTGGCAGAGATCGAGGGTGGCAAGAGGCCCAAACATCCCCTCGCCGAGCACATCCTCGTGTCCAGGGACAAACAGGGACTCCAGCAGAGTGTCCTTAAGGTGCCAACGTGGGCAAAAAATGAGTCCTTCGAGTCACCAGAGGTCGAGGATGATATCGATATTCATATAAGCAAGAATGAGGTCGAGAGAAACGACTGGGATAGAACAGCTGGGGATGGCAATTCGGAAAATCCACCTGATGAAGAGGACTTCAGTGATTTTGATGAGTTCAGCAGTCAGTCCGAGGATAACAATAATCAAGAGGACGTGGGAGATTTGCCGGTGAAGATTGGGGGTGAGCAGTGCAGGGCGTTGTATCAGTACTCGGCTAATTTAAATGATGAGCTGAGTCTCAGTCCTGGAGATGTCATCACTATTCATCAGAAACAGGCTGATGGCTGGTGGATTGGCGAGTGCGCTGGCAGAACTGGAATTTTTCCTGCTACTTATGTTCAAGTACTGCGTTGAGATAAATTGAGATGAATTTAGATTTTTTTTACTCATTTGACTGAATTATGGGAATAGTTCTCGTAATGGCTTTTAATGGAGGGACTGGGTATTTATTCTGGAAACCTCCGCCATAGAGAGAAGATGAAATTTTTTTTTTTTCGATTCTCCAAAATTTATCAAAGATAAAATTTGAATCGCTAATAAGTCAATCGAATTATCAGCATCATATTCGTACTTATTAGAATGGAGAGTTTGAATTTTAACAGTAGATAATGTGAGATCGTCTGCTGAATCAGTCACTCGAAATTTAAAGAAATCTAACGAGAATTAACAATTAAGTTCTATTATTCACGAGAAAGTTTTACCAAATGTTGCATGCTGTACATAAGAACGGTGTTTATTCAATAAAATCTGTACATATGATTGAAATTTTGTTATATATGTAATATCACAAGTAATGAGCGTAAATACATTTGTATATTTCAATGATTCTTCTCATGTCGTCAATCATTTTAATCCGATTATTCCCAAATAACGAATTTATTCGTTGGATTTCCTTCCAAAATTTAATTAAAATTTTTTTCTTTAATTTAGTAACCAATGAGAGAGAGAGAGAGAGAGAGAGCAGAATTTTCAAAATTGACAATAAACAACACTTAACGAATAAAAATAGACACATGTCGTCAAATATGATTTATTAGAATTATTAAGACTGTGTACATAATTAAATTTGTTTCGAATCAAATTTTATTTGTCTCGACTGTTTTATCTCATTTTTATGTTATTACTGAATACATTTTTTTTGCTCGGATTGAAGCCTGAATTTCCAAAATCCTAAATTTTTAACATCACACTTGCATCAGATACCATTTATTGTCCCAGGAAATAGGAAAGTCGCTTGAAACAAATAAAAAAAATCCTGAAGTGATATGAGTTTTTATATTTCTCCGTTAAAAAAAACAATCAATGCCGTGAATATACAATAGTATAAAATATTATATATATTATCACTTTATGGAAGAGCCGTCGATCTCCAATTGTTCCAGAATGTCCTGTCGATCCAACTCTGTGATAACTGAAATAATTATTAATTATGTGTCATTCCTTTTATAACTCATAAAAAAATCCAGAGGAATAGAAAATTCCACGTGACTGTCGCGAATAATCATGAGTAATAAATTGAATGATGACAATGCAATATTTATAAACAGCTTATTTATAAGAAACATTTTGTTGAATAAAACAATAAAAACTCTAGTCCTTACCGACGTAGGGGTTTGTACTCCCAGTAGAAACGAAAAAGACACCCCTGTGTTCATATTTATCAGCATTGATTCCCATTTCTACGCAGTTCTCATCCTCACAATCTTTTCCGACAAAAACTGCTGCATCAATCGGCGATTGATTCCACTCATGCCCCCAGAATTTATTACTCATATTTCTAGCTGCCAGTTGCAACGACTCGATGAAATATTCATACGAGCGCTTGTGACTGCAGACTGATTCCATTATTTCTGGAATGAGAATCAATCAAAAATCCCTTCAATCATATAAAAATCGTGTGAATACATTTATTTTCTTTTAATAATTGGCTTTTCTTTGCGGATAATTCAAATGAAAAAATAGTACCAGCACGAGGTTTTTCCCATATAGATACTTCCTTAGAACATCCCGGCTGGCGTTGTCCACCATTTGCATAGAAATCCACATGGCCTGTTCATCAGAAGAAAGATAATGATTTCTCCATTAAAAAAAATTGAAAGCCAATCGTATTTTTATTTTTCCGAAAATTCTACATAATTTTGAAAAAAAAAATCGAAAAGAAAGAAAAAGGAATGAATCTATTGGATTTCTCTCAATTTTTTTTACCAATCAATCAAATTAATTGCCTATTGGGTCCTTCATGCCGAGCCCCATGCCTGCAAAGAATTGTCCATTCGTGTGGATGATGTCCACGAATGGCGCGTCTGTTTTTCCCAATGATAAGTCACTGGCAGCAAAACAGGGTTGCGCTGGGTCCAATCCTGTTATCCTGGTGATCTTCCACCTGCTGACCATCTCCTTGAACCCATCTGCTGCCATTCCACTCACGTGTGCACCTAAACTATGTCCAATCAAGTGAATATCCCCCCATTCTCTGGTTTCCCGGTAAGATGCTACCGTCAGCTGGAGGAATCTTGCGAAAAAGGAATTGAGTGAAATAAAATCATCAATTTTTCGGGAAAATGGATCTGAAAAATTTCCAAAACTCGGGAAGAAATGTACGTACTTAAGAATTGCACATGCAGCGTTCTGCGCGTTGACAACGGCTTTATAATAGTTCAGAATATTTGAGTATTGACTCCAGTCAACTGCTATAACATTGACATCATCCTGAAAAAAATGTACGTCCAAAAAAAATTCTCTTGAATTTATAAGCAATATTTACTTATAAAGATATTTTTCCAATTCCGAAGCGTCGAGATAATTTTTATCACCGCACGTGTACGGGGAAAGGGGGAATTCACGAATGACCGAATTTATTATCTTAATATTATTTTGAAATCTTCACCGTATGTGACCTAAAATCCGTCGAGTGTATTTGCGGTAATGCTTTCAATAAAAAAAAATACTCCATTACTAATCGAATCAATATTGACATTCGAGTTATCATCTGGCGCAAAATCTGAAAATGTTTGATTTTCATAAAGCGGTACAATGGACATATTTTTATTTAAATTATTGTGACAACAATTAAGACCATCGAATGTCTTTCCCGGATCGCAAAATGAATATGTAAAATGATAAACACCTCGTTGAAACCATTTAATTGTTATCAATTATTATTATATCGTATATTAAAATTGTTATTCTAAATTTTGGTCGATAAATAAAATGAGGGATATAAAAAAAATAATACAACGTACAAATTCAAGATACGCCTTGACCATTTTCTGTATCCAGGCTTGTTCACCGTGAGCTAAAAATCCATGAACAATGAAGACAGTTCTCCGTTCAGGTTTGAAACTGGAAAAAGATATTTCGAACTGATCGTCCTCAGCAAAAAGTTGATAGGGGACCTGGGAAGTCCGGGAATGCACCAGGAACCTGACACGTCCGTCTCTGGAAGAGACAGGAGGCTCTCGAAAAATCCACTGGAGGATTTTAGCGACGATACTGCCGATTCCGAAACACTTAACATCATCTTCCTTTCCCTTGGTGACGTCCTCCAGGACGACGCCACGTCCTATGGTCACTGAGAGGCCGCATACCAGGAGGATGATCCACAATTTCGGCATTTCTAACTAATTTCTAATAAAATGTTGCTTTTTTTTTATTTTACACGATGAGAAATATTCAAGAAAAATTATGGAACACTTCACGTAATCCGCCAGTAATAATCGTTTTCAGGGAATAAATTCCACATCACCGAAATAATACGAAAAAGTTACCTAATTTTTCTGGAAGTTTTAAAATCGAACCAAACTTCAAGACTTATTATGCCTCAGAACATAAAAATTCTTGGATGTTCAAGGAAAAATTATGAATCGTTCCGTAAAAATCCCCTCCTCACTCATCCTCGGACGGAGGAGTAATTTTTACGGAACAGATGGTAGAATTTATGGGATGATTGCTTCACTTGCGGATTACGTGAAATGTTCCGTAATTTTTCTTGAATATTGCTCTCCGTGTAGAGTGTCTACTACTGATCACCAGGTGATGTTCATGATTTTATGATCATTAATCGACCCCTCCAATTATTTAGGATCGAATGGAGATTACGATAGTCGGATTATTCGTTATCTGTCTCTCGAATCTCTTATCGGATAATATTTCAGTAGAGATTTCACCTCGTTAAATTTCTAGGGTATGTGTAATGACGCATTAATGAAAAGTAATAGACAACATGTGGATAAAAATAAATCACTTTTGACATAATAATACAATATTTTTATTATTAAATTTATGCAACGGTAGTATTGATTAAAATAAATCTAAATAGAACAAGAATAAAAGGACATTCTTGATTTCTGAGTTGAAACTCGAAGAACGGAGCCACGAATAAGAACCATTAAATGAATAACTACTAATTCTATAATTCGCTAATTTTCGTCGAGAAATTTCTCGACGTTTTTAATCTTGACATTGACCTGCAAAATCTTCTGATATCCGACGTGCTATCTGGGTGCGATCTCTGGAGCTTACGTCACAGAAAGGAGTAGTATTAGAAGTCATGACGAAGAAACTTCCCCTAAGTGAAAAATTCTCAGCATTCAAACCCATTTCTACACAATTTCCTGGTAGACTGGAAGTTCCGTTGATGATCTGTTGTGCATGTCTGCAGGTCAGATCCCAACTGTGTCCACAAAAGTGACAGCCCCCTGAAGCCGCTGATAAAATCGATTGAATGAAATACGCGTGAGAAAAACCATGACTGCATATTGCTTGTTCAACAGCACTCTTCGGAATTCCAAGATAATCGAATGCGGAGGTTTCGATGTTAATACAAGCTGGCTGACGTTTTCCTCCATTTGGATAAAAATCCATGTGCCCTATTGGGTCCGGCAATCCAAGTCCAATACTGGAGAATAATTTGCCATTGGTGTGAATGACGTCGACGAGTGGTGCATGCCTCTTATTAAGAGATAAATCGTTGACTCTAAAACAGGGTTGAGCTGGATCGAGTCCAGTGATTCTCTTGATCTCCCACGGTGTCGAATAATTCTTGAAGTAATCGGCAGTAATGCCACATATGTGTGCACCCAGACTATGTCCCACCATGTGAATGGGTGCCCAGGATGCTTCAGGCACTGATTGTTCACGTGTAGCGTTGACAATATGTGAAAGGAATTTCGATATTTCTTGGCCTACGATTCTTGCATTCACCGCTGCTTTATAATAATTCCAAGTGTTTCCATGAGCACTCCAGTCTACAACGATTACGTTTACATTTCCCCATCTGTGGAATGCCTCCTCCATCCTGTGAATCCAATCTTCATGTCCATGAGATAAAAACCCATGAACAATAATAACAGTTTTTCTCTGTATTGAAAAATCGGTCCATTCCAGTCCGAATTGTGGTCCTACGAGGACCTGCATACGTCTGGGATTTCTTCTAGAGGACAGGAAGAACCTGACATCCAATGAATTTGAATTATTATTCCTGAAAAACCACTCTAATCCCGTAGCTGCTGTTTTCCCAATCCCGAAACAGTCGATTGCTCCCCCTGAATGCGGCGTATTATTTCTTTCGGGATACCAAACAATATTTGATCCATTCGGCCACTTGTATGCGAAATAATGACCACCCATGGAGGCATGAGTATTGAAAAAATTCTGACAACTCGTAGGGGTGAATTGTAAATAAAATAGAGAAATAAGGGACAGCACGAAACCGACACTCGTGATCATCTTTGTGAATTCTTTCGAAGACGGGAAACTACTGAATGTAAAAAATTGAAAAATAAACAGAGATAAGGCATGACCTCAATCGTGTTATGAAAATATTTCTGTGGGAAGATGTGTCACCTTCAAACGATTCCAATTACTCACATTTTATTAATTAAAAATTCCAGGAACTTGAGAGAGAGGAATTTATAATAAAATTTACAATTATATTTCCAAATTTTTTTGTTACTTTTAATGAGCAGAATAATTAGTAAAAAAGCGATTTAAATTTCATTATATTTATAGTAGTAGAAATGGCAATTTTTCCTTCTTCATAATTGAATATAAATGATGATGAGTAAATGAATAAACTTTTCCTTTGTAGTAATGTATCAATTTTCGTAGAAATATTGTCGGCTCATAACGATTTAATCGTATTATTCCGTGTTCGAGTTTTGCGTCGATAGGAAACCAGTTGTTGGAAGATAATGACTAACAACGATGAAATGAGAATACTCTTCAATTAAATATTCATAAGATTGACATTGAAAAAATGTATATGAATAAACTTTATTATCTTCTTTATAAGGATTCTAATGAAATTTTTATTCTCATATACCCAGTTTTTGCTTCTTCTTCTTTTTTCCTTTCGTTATTTTGTCCTTGAACTGCAAAAAATAATGAATGGTGAATTAATGGAACAATGGAGAAATTAATTGTGAGGGTGATTACTCTCTTACACGATAGTAAATCTGATAAGATAGAAATGGAGACGAATTTCTCAGGATTTTTTTTCAAATAACTGTGAAAAATTTATTTACACTCTTGCTTTCTTGAGTGATCACCCTCTGGCGAATATTTCACAGTCGTAAATACCTGTTTTTGCTGAAAGACAGTTGTCTTAGAGGAATCTCCTTTGCTCCCTCCCTGGAAGCTACTGAAATCAACAGTTTTGTAATCGAAATTCGGTTTGGGAAGCATTCCCTTCTGTGCCAATTCCTTCCTATTATTAATTTTCTGCACTCGAGTTTTGTCCCTGAAATCACGAAGCAGATGAAAACAATTCATGCCTTCCCAAAACCACGATTATAAAAACGAAAATAAAATACTTACATTGACCCTGAATAAACGCGTATCCCCTTCATCTTTTCATTCCTGGACTGAAGTTCCCTTTCCTCTTTATGCCTCTTTCCTCTCAAGGAATCAGCGACAGTGGAATCCCTTCCAGGTTTAGGTGTCGAGACATCCACCTCCTCGCAGACGGCCTCCACGTCGTCCTCATCCTCTCTCTTCCTCTTGCGGCCAGTCATCTCACCGAGAGTCCTGTCTTCATCAGACTGAACCCTCTCCTTGGTGACCTCCAAAAAGTGCTGTCGAACCCTGTCGATGCTCTGCAAAGTCTCCTCTTTTTCGGTCCTCGCTGCAGCAGTTCTCTCCTCCCTTTCTCTCTCCTCCCTCTCCCTCTCCTCGGCTTCCTGTGCTGCAATCACTGGCAGGACACGCTTGTACCTCTCGAAAGGACTCACAAAAAGTGTTTTAGTCCTTCTCAACTTCTCCATGATTTTTCCATCACAGTCCTCTAGTCTCGAGTCATCAAAAATCGTGACAATAGGATGAACATCATCCTCAGAGGATTCATCATTCCCCCTCAATTCCCCTGAATCCAGCAGACAGGGTAAATTCGCCTGGACCTCCGCATTACTCACATCGTGTGGTGCATAAATCCAGGCTTCCGTGTCCACCTGGTTCCCCTGCCCCAGCCTCTGACGCATATCCTGCTCCATCAGCACAGGTTTGATCAATGGCTGCTCCCTGGCCCTCAAAATTAATTTATGAAGTTTCAGCAAATTCTGTCGAACAAGTGGAGGAATGGGATTGCAGCAAGCGAGAACACCCTGCATCTCCCTGGGGAGTGTCTCAGCGATATTCAACAGCATGTGATTTGGCAGGACATATCCATAGCTGTCGTCCTCCTGTCGGGCAGTCTGGTCCCTCCACGTGAAGAGCTCCTTCAGGGCATACAATTGACGATTATTAAACATCTTCTGACTCTTTCTGTAAATCGCCATGCAGCTCTCCTCGTCGCACAGGGGTTTTTCGTAAATTTTTCTGCAGATGTCAGTGGATCTGTCGTAGGCTGCCCTGAGGATGTTGGACTGGCCGTTTGCCGATTCGATCAGGGAATTCCTGAGGATGTCTTTGATGTAGAGAAGGTAGTGGGTATCCTCTCGTGCGTATTTCATTAATTCCTCCGGGAGGGGTCGAATCCTCCAGTCAGCAAGTTGAAAGTGCTTATTGGGATCAATATGACAGTGGGTTTTTAACAGATAAGCAAGACTCAGGTAGGGGAGCTTCAGGTGTTTGGCTGCTTGGTGGGTATCAAACATGTTGACAACGTACAGAGACAGATCCCTCTGCAGCCACTGGATATCATTGTCAGCTCCATGGAAAACTTTCAGAATTGAGGGCTTCGTGAATATCTCATTAAGGACGTGTAGCTCTGACCTCAAGGCCAGAGTGTCAATAAGGTAATCTGTGTCCCTCGTGGAGATTTGCATGAGACACGTGATACCCTGAAATGTCCTGTAGGAGTGATGCTCCAGGTCCACAGCGATTTCCTCGTAATTTCGCAAGTCGTTTAAGAGGATCTTCAGGTCCTGGGGCTTTTCTATGACGATCAGGGGGGTTTCCTCCAAGGATTTGTATTTAACTGGAGCCTTGGGGAGCAGCTGGTGCTCGGGATACGTCAGTTTGTCGAGCTCGAACTCATAGGGGTGAGTCCAGGCTGGACCTCTCTCAGTTTCGATCAAGTGGACTGCCAGAGGTATCAGGGCATTCGGTTTATCTTTTATCCTGGGCTCCCAGGGCTTCGGGCTGTTGTCGATTTTATCTTTGAAGGATAATTGAGGCCTGTGGATGTTCTTCGCAGCTAGCAGGCGAATACCGTTGGGTGTGGACGGACTGGGGCTCTGGTTTCGTGGATCTTGGGAGGAGATGACTGACGTGTTCCAGGAACCGTAATTATTCTTTTTTGTTTGAGTCGTTATCAGTTGGATGTTGTGGTCGTTGGAGACACCTGACTCTTTGTCCATGCAGGCTGTTGCACGGTCTAGAAGGATGTCATTGGCTTCTGTCAGCAAATCGAACTTCTCCTCTCTGTCACCTCGGGTTATGCTACCTGATGCCCCTGTACATTCTAGCAAACGCTGCATCGAGGTCATTACTTTTTTTATCTCCTCCTGGCGAATGTTTCTGAAGGTCGGGAAGCAGGAGTAGTAACTGAAGTTCTCCCCCGAGGGTAAGCTATTAGCTGCTTTTATCCCGATCTTGAGAACGGCGAAACTCGCCTGAAATTCCAAAATTATCAATTTCTATCAGTCGAGAATCTCTTGTAAACTGCCGAGTGTTCGGCCAAACCATTGGAGATCATCGAGAAAAAAACGATTATTCTTTATTTTCCTGACAATTTGGATGGCCAGTGATAAACAAATAATATCATAGTGGTATTTTTTAAAATCTGATGGACACGTTGTACTCTCACGATCCCTACCTTAACAAATTCGTCGAAAGTGGAAAATCCTGGGAGAATTTCTTTCTTCTCATTTTCAATTGATTTTTCCGAATCATCGGACTGAGCTGAATTATTATTATCTTTGTCACATTCTTCGATATTTACTTTGTTATTCATCTTGACAATTATTGAGGTTATGCTTTATGGCATGCTTCACGACAGCCTGCAGGTGAAAAAAACAGGACCGTGCGGTGTAGGTCCTGGATAACTCTAAAAATCAGGCCAAAAACATTCCGAAGAAATAAATCTTCAAAAAATGGGCCTAAGGTGAATCGACAGGAAAAGAAAATAAATTGTGCCAATCATTTTTGTTCAAATGCCGCAGGTTTTTTTAATAAGAGAAATTTAAGGCCCGGATGGAGGGAATT